TGCATGGTATAGACTGGGGACAAACACAGGAACTCAACTTCTGAGAGCTGGTGCTGCCATGTGGGGGAACAAAATGAAGCCACACAGGATGCTAGGCTGAGAATGTCCCCCAAGGTGCTCAGAACACAGGGCCAGTCCTCATMACTCCCCAAGGCCTCCTGGAATGGGATGTTCTAGTACCTTGAGAAGCTCTCCAGGTTCCTTGTAGCACCCTCTTGAAATTGTTGAGTTTCTCTTGACAAATTTAAGATAAATAGGTAACTGATGTCTTAMGGTAAGAATAATAAGTGAAATTCAATGGGAAAGTTGATACTTTTTTGTTTCTGGAGCTGGGGAGAAAATCAAGAGCCCCAGGCATGCTAGGCATGTGCTGACTGCAGAGCAGCAGCCCAGCGCAAGATGGAAACTTAAAGAACGTTGAAGAACATACTCTAGCCAGCATGAGGGAAGGTTAGCGAGATCTTTTGGGGAATGAGCAGAATTATCCTGATTTCAAAAATGGGTATAATTTATAAGCCAGCTACACAGGGCATAATTGTGCAGGAATCTAGAAAGCTTTGCTCACATGCTCAGCCCCACCAGGCAGTCAAAAGATAAACAGTCTCCAGATGCCAGTTGTACCTGCTCATCTGGAAAAACTGAGTTTTCWAAAAGAAGGGCAGGCTCACAGGCTTCCTGGGCAGGTACTGAACAGTGGTCACATGGCAATGTGGTTGGACAGTGCTCACAGCAAGGCTTTCCAGCTTTGTTTCTGATCACAAAGAATTAAAAACAATTTAAGTGTTCAAATAAATGAAGGAGGGACAAATTAAAGTAGGACCATATCATTGAAAACAATATTTTCACAGATAATGAGTGGTAGAGGAATTCTCATAACCTAATCTTGAGTGGAAAAAATCAGGAACACAGTGATTCTGATTTGAGGATGATTCTGAGGAAAGGAACAGTTAGGAAAATGGCTAGAGAGTCTACTAAAAAGCAGTCAGGAAATAGGAAGTCTGGTTTGTAATTTTATTTTTTGTGGTTTTTAATAGTTCTGAATTCCTACAGGAAAACATCTCTTTATGATTCAAAAATACATACTGAAAACCCTTGAAAACCCCAGTTTCTGCAGATGGCCCTGTGGTCCTGTGTCTGTGAGCAGCGAGCAGCCTCAGGGAGTCCTGAGGATGGGCTCTGCCTGCCGTGGGTGCACCTGGCCTATCAGCATTTCAGGATCCGGCTGCACAACTTCCCCAGAATCTTGACCATCCACCCACAGGTTCTGCAGAGCCTCACTGAAGTTGCACAAAAGCACAACATGGCTGGCAGTGAGATGGTACAACCCTTCGGGAGGCTCAGGCCCTTGGCCTGTCCCTGGGAGCAGAAGGAGAAACCCTTTAGGGGTGTGTGAATCAGCATAGCCCAGAGGTGTTGGGAACAGCTGGTTGTGCTTCCTATATCCCAAGACCCAAAGGAGCAGGTTAAGAGCCTGGAATACAAGGTCACACTGCCTCTGCTAGGTCCTCTGGCCTAAGGAAGCCTCAGCCAAAGAAGAGGGTGGGTGGAAGGGCAAGGGCCCTGTGGGGTCATGTGACTGTTCTCCTCTTCCCAGACACTGGATGCATTTGCTGCAATGGCCTGTGCTGAAATGCTGACAAGAGACATCTTGAAGCCAAGTCCCCAGGCCTGGCTGCAGCTGGTGAARAAGCTGTCCATACCGCTGGAGCTCGTCTGCTCTGATGGGTACTTGCGAGGCAGTGGGAGCACAGCCAGAGCTGTCACTGCAGAGGTCAGGTGAGATTCAGAGTCAGCTCTCCCTGGCATGCTAAGCCTGTGCTCATCAGTGGACTCCAGGTCGTGGCCCACCTGGCAGCCAGGAGAGCAGGTGCTCCTGCCATGGCAGGGGCTCTTTGTGCACTCAATCTTCCCTTGATGAACCCTGTCAAGTGCCAGGCATCTCGTTAGATGCTGGAGAAAGAGGAAAACCACATGCAGTGAGGCCATGGTGTCCCAGAGCCACAGAAAGGCAGGCAGGTTATTAAGCTGCATCTTGAGAACCACTGTGGTGGCAGGGAGCCATYAGAAAGGACAAGGTTGGGCAGGGCAAGCAGAGGGGCAGGCCTTCAGTGTTGGGGAGAGTCCCAATCCATGCTGGGCTGTGAGAGTCAAGAGGGATTTACTGTATGCAGGATTGTCAGAGAGTAGGCACAGTGGCAGTGCATGCTGAGGTAGCAAAGTGAGACTCCAAGTCCTGCCTGCACAGAGCACTGGGGGAGTGCTGAGGGCAGGGCTGGTGGATAACCCCTCCTGTCAGCTCACCTTCCCATGCTGCCTTACATCTGCCCTCTTGTCCCCTCCTCCTGTCTCAGAGTCCTCTGTTAGAGCTGAGTGTGTAACACCCTCTTTTGACAGAACCCAGTGGAATCGTGTTTTTCCCATTGCACTCTTTGTGGAGCACGTGCTCCTGGGGACCGAGAGCCAGATTCCTGAGCTGTGTCAGCTGGTKACCAAGTACGTCTTTTCACTAGACAAGGTGAGCACTGGGCACTTCTCTTGGTCAAATGCAGAGTTYGGGAGCCCACTCTGCCCTCATCTGCAGGTCAATGCTGGGCTCTCACCCAGTCGCACAGGGGAATGTGGCTCCTCAGCCAGCCATTGCATGGATAAGCTCAGTTGTTCAAGAGTTTGCCCTCCCTGATTGCCGAGTTGGGGCATGTCACTTAGGAATAGGAATGATTGTACAGAATTGGACTTCTTCAGGGAACTTGCTTGTGGATGCTTTGCAAGAGCTGAATGGTTAGGTTCTACCCACCTCTAGGATGACCTATAGCAGGCTAGCAGCCTAGCTCTTAGGGGCAAATTCACCACCATCCTCCGCAGGATGATAGCAATGCAGGAGAATGCCACTGGAGGTGGGACTTCAAAATACATGATGTCCATGGGACCATGGGAACAGGAAACCATTGAGCCTCTGCCCCCAACACCAGATAAAGCTGATGATGTYGCAACCAGTACCCCTCAGAGAAAGCCACCATCTCTGTGGCTTTCCASCAAAAACAGCCACTCAGCACAACACGGTTCCTACCTGTGTCACCCTGTGACCTTGGGCTAGGGTAACTAGCTCATGAGCACATCCTRTGGGTGTACAGCCATTGGCCTCCAGTGTACCCACTGTCAGGGTGTCTGAGAAAGACCACTTAGGTGTGCAGTCTTTGAAATGCAGGTAGGTGCACCAGAAGGAGATTGGCATAGATGCCAGGTGCCAGCRTATTCAGACTTAATCAGAATGTCACAGGACTTGTGCAGGATGGCCTATAHGGGCCAGAGCTTGCTAACACTCCTAGGGTGCCAGGGGCCCACACTGCTTCTCGCTTACTCTTCTGTCCTCCTCAGTAGCTACCTTCCAGCTACTTGTCTTCAAAGTCTATTCCTGCTGTCATAGCCTGGGGAGCAAAAGAAGGGAGTGGCAGTGCCAGGGATGAAACCAGGGCCTCACATATGCTAGGCTGGAATCCTGCCACTGAGCCACACCCCAGCCCCTGCACACAGTGCCTTTAAGAACACAGCCCAGGCTGGGCATGGTAGCACTTGCCTGTAACCCTAGCAGCCCGGGAGGCTGAGGCAGGAGGATTGTGAATACAAAATCAGCCTTAGCAACAGCAAGGCACTGAGCAACTCAGTAAGA